AACTAATTTTTATTTACTCAAAAATTAATTATTTTCCAGTTGTCGGTCAATCAAAAATAATTTACCTATTTGCCCAACATCAAGACATCTAGAGCTATTAATATCAACGAAACCACTTAAGAACAAAAGTTCATGCAACGAGTCATAAGACCAAAAAGATAAACTTATCTTAATTACATCCTAATCCAGATCCATCTTTAGACTATTAGGTAAGTAAGAGACTGATGGCCAACACTTCTCGTAAAAATCTGCATGTCTTCAATTTTAACAAATAATTTCTCTTCTATCAAACACACACAAAAAATTATCGACTGTCCCCTACACTTCTTCTAATTCTAAAGCATTCTAATATATCATCAATAATACTTTCTAAATAGATCTGACTAAAGCCTAAATTTTGATGCTTAAATACATGAAGGCAAGTAGTGCATTTGTTAATCCAAATGGCATATCAAAATAAATATCTTTAACCAAATTCATTTCAACACATTAACTCCTAATGAACCATAATTATGATAGAAGTTAATAGCATTTCGATCAATTATTTTCTGTTATCCATTTATTTCACATTCAAATAAGTTGTACTCCAATTTCCAATTAAAAAAAAATTATATCTTACATATATAATTGGGACTATCGAATGTATTCAAGTCATGCTCCCGCTATTCCACTCTAATAACTCTATATTAGTCATTTGCTCAGGTAAACTAAATCAAAACCCGAGTAGTCACATATTCCTCTTTTGTAAACAATAATTTAAAGATCAACATATGAAAATTATTGTATACTAATAAAATCTACTGATCATAACTTAAGTGCATAAACAAATCAGTCCTTTCACAACAAGCCTTTTTGCACTTCTCATTCAGGATAAATCGCCTTTCAATATACGGTAAAAGCAATTGAAAGCTATTATCAAAGTCATAACTTTATAAGTTTGCACTAGGTGCTACATGATGACTAAGAGGGAAATAATATGATACAACTTAATACATTTTCAACATCTACACCATAAACCTAAGTGGGCTAGCATCAAAATTCTTATACTAAAATAATATATTGGGTACAAAAGCAAGAAATACTCTCCAACAACTTCACATTTCTTCAATTATGCGAAAATTTGTCATATATCAAACATTGCAAAAACATTTTTGAGTGTTCTTCAACTCATGGTGTTCTATCTTGCACTTGTTAGAACACTAAAAATAAATCACACATTCAACATTGGTCCAGAGACATTGAAAACTATTAATATATTAACAAACTAAAATAAACAATCTTTAATCAAAATTCACTTTATATAAAATTTTAGTTCTATCATAACGTGACATAAATAATCCTCAGATATTGTTTTGCCCATGCCAACTCTTGAAAAATATTCATACATCATCAAAGAGGCCACCACAAATTGATCTAGTTATGATTAGACTATCTCATTCACCAAACAAAATTTGTGAAGTCTATCAATGCATTGTCATCTAGTTGGTGTCATCAAGGAATAGTGTCATAATTCATAATAACAATCATCAGTAACATTAATTTATGAAACACTCAATTTATGTACATAGACAAATATTTAAGTAATATATTATGCTACGCAAGCTATATATGTAATTCCCTAAAAAATCAAATCTAATAGCATTCATAATCTTTCACATTTATAAAGTTTGTACTTCTATTTTCTAACTAGAATTCATACATATAGAATTTTCTATAATTTTTAACCAACTGAGTTGGCATACTATCTACTATAACATCTCAAAATAAACCATCAAATTTCTTTTCTATAAATCTCAAATAATAATCCCTCACATCAAGTGCCATCACAACCTAACATCACCAAAAATAAATACATTTAGCATGAAAGTTTAATCATAATAATCATCAATAACTAATCCCTAACATATTCCTTATCATAATAGCATAAATTATCAGATAATATTTTCATGAGTCACATATGTAAAACATGCCTCCAACTAAGCTGAACTAATTCCTTTATCTCTAGGAAAACTAAACAAAAAGGAATTATGTAATCCATGAATCTAAAATCATATACCTATATAACTAAATTTGATCCAATAATATTCATATTTTCCTCGATCAAACTTTAAAATAAAACATCAACTTTCATTTCGATGCATCAAAATCCAATATATTTTTCTTTCATTACTTAACCATCTCCAAAATTAATTAGGACCTACAACGTAAGCTCTGATACCATTCTGTCACGACCCAAATTTTCCAAACTTAAAAGGAATATTAGAGCCGGACTAAATATATGAAAAAATCTTCCAAAAATATACTTTCATCAAAAGACCATCAAAATAATCTCTTCATTGAACTTACACCAACAATAAATATTCTCTTATAATTCCTAAAAATCAACATTAATCCAATTAACTAGATATAAACAAATAATTCTCAACTTGAAATAAAACTCGACCTAAAGGAAAGAAATCTCATAATTACAAAACTCTCAATTCATCAACTAAACATCAAGACTTTATTTAACCTTCACCTAGAAGATAATAACAATCCCGAATTTTATTCATTGCTCCGTTCTAAGAATTAAAAAAAATCCTCAATTCCACCTAATCCCGAGTCTCTCAAAAGAATGAAAACAACACAATGAGTTCACAACTCAATAAGTGGATAAATTCATTATTGAACACTGGTTTTGCAAAAATTCAAATATTTTGACAAAAGACGAACAAAATATAAGAATGATAGAAAATCATCAATGAATTATACTACATGATGCAAATATTTAAGAAAACTAAAAAAACATGAAATGGAAATAAGCAGGTCACGTCTCAATATATACAGTCATCATTTCATACTCTGGTTGACTTGGTAACCC